AGGACGTGTGTGTGTGTGTGTGTGTGTTGTGTGTGTGTGTGTGTGTGTGTGTTGGGGGGACTGTGTGAAGGAGTGTGTCAGGAGGATGCCCCCAGTCGAGAGTGGCCAGGGGCGACTCCAAGGATGAATGGAGGGTGGTGGGGACAGGAACAGCAGCAGCTGCACATGTGGAGCAGGGCGGAGGAGGGGCCCCTCTGCTCTGGAGCAGTCACCTGGCTCCGACATCTGGTCGTCCAATGGCCCCTTGCAGCTCGGGTCTCTCCCCCACCCCCATGCTGCTGCTCGCCTGCCTCCCATGCAGCCTTCATCAGCTCAGTGAGCCTCTTGGCAGCAGGTCAGGTTGGAATCCAAACCCTGTGACTGGCACCCCCTTGGGTTAGGCACCCATATGGCCCACCCTAAAGGCCGTTCCTGGATGTGGAGCAGAATTGATCCCCTCCGCTCTCCCCTATGGGGAAGAGTTTGGGGGAATTCAATCCGTGATGTTTATTTTCTGTCTCCCCAGCACTTACTTGGGTTTGCTCTCTGCCTTTCCATCCCTAATTCTGAGATTTCTCTTCTATTCTAGCAGGTGATGGGGTGGTGAGGGAGAACGAGGAGCAGAATCCTCACCAGGAAGCTGCGGAGCTAGTAGAACCTCATGGGGCATTACTGTGAAGATCCAAAGGGAATGTGTCCAGGCACCATGAGCTGGGAAAAGCTGGTGAAAGTTACCACAGACCAGAGAGAGAGCAGGGAAACCACTCAGAGGAGATCCGAAGAAGTGGGCAGTAGCCCATGAAAGCTTATGCTCTAATAAATTTGTTAGTCTCTAAGGTGCCACAAGTACTCCTGTTCTTTTTGCGGATACAGACTAACACGGCTGCTACTCTGAAACCTGTCAGAGGAGAGAGTGGATGAACCCATGAATTGTCAGGAAACTCAAAAGGACCTCAAGGAAAGTACATCCCAGGAGAAAATCCTCAGGGAAAAGAGAGAGAATATATGCAGTGAGTGTGGGAAAAACTTCAATTACCACTCAGCCCTTATTTGACATGAGATAATCCATACAAAAGAGAGACCGTATGAATGCTGTGAGTGTGAGAAAAGCTTCAATCATACCTCAGCCCTTATTAGACATCAGCGAATACATAGAGGAGACAGACCCTATGAATTCTGGGAGTGCGGGAAAAGCTTCACTCAGAGCTCAGACCTTTCTACCCATCAGAGAATCCATACGGGGGAGAGACCCTATGAATGCGGTGAGTGCAGGAAAAACTTCAATTACCGCTCAGCCCTTCTCTCTCATCAGAGAATCCACACAGGAGAGCGACCCTACGAATGCTGTGAGTGCGGGAAAAGCTTCACTCAGAGATCAGCCCTTATCTCTCATCAGAGAATCCACACGGGAGAGCGACCCTATGAATGCTGCGAGTGTGGGAAAAGCTTCACTCGAAGCTCAAACCTTACTACACATCAGAGGATCCACACAGGAGAGAGACCCTATGAATGCAGTGAGTGCGGGAAAAGTTTCACTGACATCTCCTCCCTTATCTCTCATCAGAGAGTCCACATGGGAGAGAAACCCTTTGAATGCTGTGAGTGTGGGAAAAGCTTCTCTCAGAGCTCAACCCTTATTACACATCACAGAATCCACACAGGACAGAGACCCTATGAATGCTGCGAGTGTGGGAAAAGCTTCACTCAGAGCTCAGGCCTTATGTAGCATCAAAGAATCCATAGAGGAGATAAACTTCATAAAAACCTTCTCTAGAGCTGTTAGAAGATTTTTTTTCTTTAATTCTTTTGACAGTTCCCAGGTAGTGACCATTAAGGCTGTTTGCATCTTTTGCACACTGTAGTCCCTCAGCTCCCACACATAAGTTGCCCACTTTTGAAGCCTGCCCTTCTTTGGGGTGGATCCTGTGGTCCTTTCTATCAACTCCATTGTCCTGCGAGTCATGGGAGTCTGTGTCCTTTCTACCAGGAATGTCCATCACCCCTGATGGGGGAGATAGGGGGTGTCTTCAACCAGCTACATTGAGGTAAAATCTACCTGGGCGTCATCACTGTGGTTTCCATGGAGTTAGCTAGCTTAAGTTTGCTTTTCTGATGTAAAATGACAGCTATTCTTGCAGTAAAGACATGGGCCATGGATAATGGGTAGGGTTATCTAGCACATTTCCTCCTGATCTGAGCTAACCACCATCACATTTCCTTGTCTAAACAGACCTGGAGATTCACATTTATACTCTTCCTCCAGTGCAAAGTTATTGTTCAAGTCGTCAAGTTCCTCTCTGAGGACAAATTGTCTCATTCCCAGTTCTCACATTACCCTGGATCGTGTGGAACAGCAGTTATTTTGTTGACTATTTTTCTCATTTAAAATATATTTAAATGTAATGAAGAGCTGGAGCAATGTCAGGGAAATAAGTGTCATTTCAGCCTCTGTGACACTGCAAGAAGGTGGGGAGACTCAGAGATTCCCTCCTTCTCCATCACCCCAGAACTGTTACCTTGTGTCTGAGCCATTCACCCCTTCATATTTCTTCACTTCCCAAAGTGTCCGGTGAGGTCGTGTTCTTGGCCATCCGTGCTTGGGAATGGTGTGTGGATGTCTTTGCAGATACTTTAAGGCTCCCTCCGTATGTTCTGGGGACAGTTGCTCACCTGCAGTGGAACGTTCCTGAAATTGGCCCCCATCACCCTGTGGTACATTGATCTCCATGCGGACAGGGCCAAAGGGAGGGCTTGCTGCTCTGGCCACTTCGGCTGTGAGGGAGGCCACTGCTGTGGCTTAAACCATCCTGCGAGCACCTTCCACCTAGCCACCCAATGAAAAGCCCTGGCTGGGATGAGTTAGTTGGTGTTGGTCCTGCTTTGAGCAGGGGGTTGGACTAGATGATCTCCTGAGGTCTCTTCCAACCATGATATTCTATGGATGAACACTAGAGAGGGAGCAGGGGGCCTGCCTAATCTCCTACCCCTTCCACCACCATTGGCCAACCCAAACCCATTGCTGCACCCAGTGGGCTCAAAAGAAAAAAAATATGGCCAGATCTGAAGAGTTGGTTGCATTCTCTGTGGTTGCCCTGCCATTCCCCTCTGGCCTGCCCTGCCCTCCAGCTCAGCCACCCAGTGAAAATTGAAAAACAAGAAAGTGGAGCTGTTAAAATGCTTCAAAGCCCATCATGCCCAACCCATCCTCTGTCACTGGTAGGCAGGACCGGCTCCAGGGATTTTGCCACCCCAAGCAGCGAAAAAAAAAAAAAAGACGCAATCGCAATTGCGATCAGAAGGACTCCGGCAGCAGCTCCACCGTGTCACTTTCTTTTTCGGCGGGAGGGACCCGCCACCAAATTGCCACCGAACAGCCCGACGTGCCGCCCCTTCCCCTTGGCTGCCCCAAGCACCTGCTTGCTGGGCTGGTGCCTGGAGCCAGCCCTGCCGGCAGGGAAGCCACACTTCTCCTGGCTAGGGATGTCCTATTGCCCCACAAGAAGTGGAAGGCCATCATGTTCAGCTCATGGAGCTGGGGGAAATACATGGCTGAGGAAATTTCCTGTAGCCAAAAGATAGGTCTTCAGCATGACAATCTTCTGGGCTAATGAAAAGGCCCAGTTATGCCACCAGCCGAGCCTTTCCTCACAGGCCAGCAGCTGCCTCTCCGAGTTCACATTCCCAACCCCAAACAGTACCCTCAAGATGTTCACCACCCCGGGGGTGCTCCTGTCTTGGCTACTTACGAATTGGAAACCCCTGATGGGTAAGGGAAAACCCCCACCAGGGTCCGATCCCACTCACAGGGCCCTGTTCTTTTCTAGGTTCACCATGGCTCCAGCAGCAGCCGAGTACCCCTCCAATAGTGTCACCAAAGTGCAGCAGTTGCCCAGGGAGCTCACTGTCACAGTCATGTCATATGCATGGGCAACCGCCTTCAATGCGACAGCTTCCCCGCTCAGTCCTCCCAGACTCTGGTCAGGGCAAACCATGCTCCACATTGCTCTGCTTCTGTAGAGTGCTTTGAGAAAAGGGTCCAAAGAGAACACATACAGAAGGGGCTCAAGGGACAGCCCTGTTATATGCCTGCGTGCACAGGGATTTTGTTCCCTAGCCAGCCATCTGATAAAGTTCCCCCGGGATGCCACAGTGTTTAAGCACTCACCAGAAATAGTTCAGATTGATCCAGAGCCAACAAGTGACCTTCCCACTACTCCCAGCGTGCACATTCACAGACCTCTCTCATGCTGCATAAGGAATCTATGACTGTCTGACCTCATACCACATTGAATCGGCTACAGTGCACCAGTCAGTCTGCTACCCCTCCCAGCCTCCTCTTGAGTGCTCGGGCCAAGATCTTGTCATCGGTATTAAACAGAGCAGTGGGCCTCCAATTTCGGATGTCAGTCAGGTCTCCCATCTTGGCCTGCAATACCAGGATAGCATCGTATTGTGATAGACTCAGTGCCTAGTGGTGCAGAGAGCTGTTGAAGACATTCATCAACACTGGTGTCAGATATCAGAGGGGTAGCCGTGTTAGTCTGAATCTGTAAAAAGCAACAGAGGGTCCTGTGGCACCTTTGAGACTAACAGAAGTATTGGGAGCATAAGCTTTCGTGGGTAAGAACCTCACTTCTTCAGATGCAAGTAACTGGTGTCAGAGGCTCCAGCAGTTCCCAGTAGAGCTCTGGGCTCCAGCAAACTCTCCCGGTTGTCTCCTGATAGCAGCTGTGAGCAGTACCTGGCTAAGGAGAGAAACTTCTCCTGCGCCTGCTGAGCAATGTCCCGGCCCTGGAACAGCTCCCCATTATAGGCCTCCATGATGGCCAGCATTCAACTGTGGTCCTACACTACTGGATCCGCGGGTCCCGCCCTGAGTCCCTGCATCCTCCTGCTTTGTCTCTGTTCTCTGCAGGCTGCAAAAATGTCTGAGGAGACCGCCTCTCCCTTCACTCGGTGGTCACACTCAAATCAGGCCCACTGCAGCCTCATCTCCCGGAACCTGGCCAGATGTCACTTGATATGGTTGTACAGTCACACGTTGACTGCCTCCCCTCTGGATGGTCTTGTAGAAATCCCACAGGTGATGCTGCAGGACTTGGCACCATTGGTATTCTTTAATGTTGCAGTGTTTCCCCGGCTGCTGGAACAAAGCCACCAACTCCTCTTTCACCGACGCCCACCAATCCCCCTGGTTGACATAGAACCCTCTGATGCTTTCCCGTTCTGACAACACCACCAGGCCTCGCCCCCCTACCCCTTTATCTTGCAAGTTCTGGAGGTTCATCTTCCAATATCCTCTGCCACGGGCCAGGCAATTTCCCACATTGAGACACATGGGGTATGTCTACACTAGGAAATTAGGTCAAATTAATAGAAGCCGGTTGTATACAGCCGATTGTGTGTGTCCCCACATAAAATGCTCTAAGTGCTCTAGTCTGCGGACCGCGTCCACAGTACCGAGGCTAGCGTCAACTTCCGGAACATTGCACTATGGGTAGCTATCCCACAGTTCCCGCAGTCTCCGCCACTCATTGGAATTCTGGGTTGAGATCCCAATGCCCGGATGATGCAAAACAGTGTAGCGGGAGGTTTTGGGTACATGTCGTCAGGCCCCTCCCCCTCCGTCAGAGCACCGGCAGACAATAGATTCGTGCCTTTTTACCTGGGTTACCTGTGCAGACAACATACCACAGCAAGCATGGAGCACGCTCAGCTCACCATCAC